CACTAGAGTAGACGTTTATCCGCGCCAAACGACGGATATAAATTTTTTTTTTTATAAATTAGTTTCTAGAGGTGATTATTTTCCTTTAGGCGTGAGCTAGTTTCTTGCGGCATTTTGACTGATTGTTTTGTGTTAGATAGTTTCTAGCTAGGTTTATATTCTTACAATAGGTGGGTAAATAAGTAAAACTCATGGATACACCATAAACAAATGTATTTTCTGGGCATTTAGGACAGTTTATGGGGTTCAAAACGGTATTTTTTTAACTTATTATATAGAAAAATATTTTTCGGCCATCCGAGATAATACAAGGGGTGAAAATTAGTCTTCGGAAACCTCTCAAACTTTGTATAAACAACAAACCGAAGAAACAATTAATGAAAACAATATTTATTTAATATACAAAAATCAATTTTTTATGGGTTTGAAAACCAACTTTTCAAACCGATATTAAATAATTTTATTTGACCATACTTGAGGTTAATGACCAATGAAAACAACGTTATTTGACCATTTATTTGGTTTTGTTTTTCTATATATAAAGAATTTTAAAAGTTTCAATCACTAAATCATATCCAATTATCCATGTCTACAAATATATCAAGTGATCAATACTTGAAGGACCATAGTAGTAAAATTAGAATTGTTGACACAAAATTGTAAATTACTAAGATTACAACAAACGGTTAAACGATAAATCTTTATCATAGCATAAGCATAGAGCCGGTCTAAGCGATCGACATAGGTCAAACAACTAATTGACGTTTATACGGAAACTCTTAATTTAGTTAGAATTTATTTTTAGAAAAATTCAAAATTTTATATATCCTAAGAAAATAAATATTTTTAATTTTAAAATTTGAAAATTTGAATATTTTTTAATACTCTAGTGTAATATTTGAAAATTTGAAAATTTTGTTGTATTATTTGGAAATTTGAAATTTTTAAAAAATTGAAAACATTGGTCAATCTAGACCGATGTTGACCGTCTTTGACCATTGATATTTATTTAATTTTAAAATTTATGCTTATTTTGGAAAAATTATGTAGAATAATAATTTATTATGAAAAAATTAATTATTCATAATTTAAATGTGGGTTGTCTTATAAAACTCAATATTTTGTGTCATTTGTTTTTCATATATTCAATATTGAAGAACAAATCGTTTGATAATTAAACAAAAATCAGACAAAAAATAATACTATGTAGAAAATAACATAAATTTTATTATTTTTCTATAAGTTTTGACAGCATTTTGGCCATTTTGTGTTGAAGTTTTGTACAAATTATTCCGAAATTTTGATTTTCATTATATATTACTATTTTCAATGAACATAACCACATAGGAATTTGAAATTTGTTTCCACTAAAAAAATTACAACTTCTTTTCTATTTAATATTTTTGTCTTATTTGTTTCATTTCCATCAAAATCCACATATTATTGAACATATATGTGTACAGGAACATAATTTACTAACCAAGTATAAGGATCACAAATTTAAAAGGGATTGGTACATATAACATATTGGCACATGATGGTCACTAAAGTAGATTGCCTTCGCCAAAGTTCAAAAGTTTAATGCTCTTTATGGTAATTACCTTAAAGTACATTGCTTTTTGAAGCTGTTGTTGTCTTTAATACTATGTCTTTATGATGTTGCTGACCCAGTGGTGTGGTCTATTTTTCAATACTACAATTTAATCAGAAATTCACCTATATACAGATCCGGATCAGAAGGACTTACAAAGAAACAACAACAAAAGGAAATAATACATGAAAAGGAGATATATGTATGATATACTTTATCTTTTTCCTAACATCCAAAATACTTGACTCGAGAGGCTTTTAAAAAGGAATGCTATAGAAAATATGGCTTATAAAGAAGGCTATAGAGAAGTAGCTTACCTTATTTTTAAAATTGACCACCCCTTATTCTTTGATTTTTTTTTTCTGACACTATAAATAACGTTGACCTATCAAAACCAAACGAATAGGATCAAGTAGTGTAGGCAATGTCATAAAAATATATACTGTGATGTCGTACAAAATATGATATGTTGAAAATGCAAGAAATAACATGTAACTTAAATTACATGCCAAAGAAAACATTATGATGATGTACACCTAAATTGTAGAATGTTTACTTACCAACTATAGCAAGATCATATATCTCCATTGGCTATGAAGCAATTGCTAAATCCAGCAAGTAGGAAAGAAGACACATCTACCCTTATTTTGCATTTTTCTGTTCAGCCTTCAACCCATCTAGATCCTTTCCTTTTCTTCCCTTTTTTGCTTTCATACTACAAATCAAAACATCAAAAAGATCATTTAAAACAATTTAAAGGCTCTTTAATATTTTGACAATGTGTAATTTGGGGTTATTCTACACCGGTTAACAAAAATAGACCCACGGAGACAAATACACAATTAAACTTGTAATTGACTTTGCACCCAATGGATAAAAATAGAAAACTGTCTTGAGAGAACATTAAAAACATTTGCATTTGAAGTCAAGCTCATACCAGGAAAAAGACCAGCATCAGAATCGCCCAGATCTATAAAATCCACAAATGGGTCATGCATGAAAGGTTTGAGATGAGTGAAATTTACAGTAAAATCAGATCGAATGACACGATTCACACCTTTTGGTTAAGATCAATCGGCTATATGACTTCTTATGTCTCTATGTCATTATAGATGTTGCGATAGAGACCACAGTGGGTGCCTTATTTTCAATCTGTAATGTATTACGCTCACATAGTACATAACCCCTCCCCCCGATATCACTAACATTGGCACCATTTTTAAAATAAATTTGATCGAAAAATGTCCCAACTATTAACGAAAAAAAACAGGAAAATAGAAAGTGAAGTAGAAAAAAGTACCTAAATGGCCTCCACTCGGCAACCACAATCACCTGTATCCATGTAGAAACAATTTTCTTGCAACAAACAAAAGCAAGATCAAATAAACAATTAAAATGAAAAAAAAAACAAAAGAGAATGAGATAATACCTGGATAGTACTGAAACATTTGGGTTTAACCCATGACGACGGATGGCTGATATGAAAAAAACATGGTCATGAAATATAATGACTCATTTAATCTATCCATTCCAAGAAGAAGCAAATGTAAAAGACTGCTCATAAAAGAGCTCTCAACCTGCTAGCCAAAAAAATAATAAAAGGGTAAGAAAAATTGAAACTATACATGAAATGAATAATGCAAGAATCATACCCAGTGCATCAATGCTTACCAGTTCCACATGAAGAAATGAAGAAATATATGATTAAGTATTAATTATTATTCCTATTATCATTGCTTACCCTCTCATGGATTCCAGATAATTGAGCTTTTAGCCTACACTAAGACACCTAAAAAACATTAATGGAATTTCATACAAGCTATAACAGTACACAAAACCTCAAAAGTAAAGCTAGCAAGTTGTTATTTCTTACATTTAACACTTTTGAATGTGATAAATAACATCACCTAAGGGCTTTAGTCCATCTTATCAAATTAAAAAAAAAGCTCCATCTTCCCGAGTTTATGTTAATGTATTGGTTTAGGTTGTGTACACTACTATCTGTATAAAAACACACACACATGAATTTTATGAACCTGAATAGAGAATAACCGTTTATATAACTTGCCTAAATAAATTTGAGTGACTTCTTCGTTTTGGCCTACCCTTTGTTATAACTTCACCTCAATAACTGGAAGTACATCTATATTCATACCTAGTCTTATCAGTTCCCTTTTCGCTCGGACCTACAATCTAAAATTCTTGAAACTAAAGCAAATACAAAATTATAAAAAGGGAGCATATATGATATTTTAGAGCATCAAACTATATCAAAGGTGTAAAGCTTACTTTCATACAATTTTTGAGTCATGTACTTGTGACTCTACAAAGGGAAGAGCTTAAGACTATAATATCGATGTTACCTACAAAAGCAACGCTAACATCTTAGACCAAAAATGAAATTCTTTAAACACATATCATCATTTGCACTTCATACAATAAATCATACCAATTACACATTTTCCAAATATATAACCATATGAATGAGGTAGAGGGAATTAAGATAGGATTGTGTGATCCATAAGTCGTATATGGCATTCTGTTCTGCATATATGGAACACTTGTACAACAAAAAGAAAAGATGGCGAGAAGTCAGAAATTTCAACATGGATAACTTGAAAAATCACTCAAGAACAATACTATTGAAAGCAAAATCAAATAAAACGGTGGATAAATATTGGATACTAAGTTTCATAAAGGAATTAGAAAATTCAAACAAAATGATATTTGTTTTACCCGGATGCAAATTGTTATTAGTCTCCTTGTAGCTTTTCAAGTGAGAAAAGACATATCCTGAAACACTAAGCTTCGATAGTGCCAAACATTGCAAGATTTCAAATCAGAAATCGGGTCAAGATGTTTCAATTTACGATTTCAGCTCTGAACAAACTACCCCAGGATTTCCCACTCGATGCTACAAAGGAGCGACCCATGTCATATTAATCAAAATCCAACCTTAACCTTTCTAGCCGTCGTAGTCTGAAGGAGAGAAAAAAATGAGAGAGAATATGGGTTAAACAAATTGTAAATCACCTTATTTTCAAAGATCTGGAACATATATGTGAAAGCAAAAGAGAGGAATCATTAAAGATATATCAGAGAGAGATGGTGGTGACAAAAATATAAAATAGAACCAATTAAACCAAGAATCAAACTACCCATATGCCCAATTCCTCTCCCGTGCCCACTCAAATGAAATAGAAAAATGAAAAAAATAATGATTTTAAGGGTTAAAATCTTACCTCGTTTGTTATTGAGTAAAGAGAAGAGATGTTGTATTTGTATTGATATGAATCGTCTATGAGTACATAGAAATACAAATTCAAGATATATATACAGTAGAATAGAAAGAGAAAACCCATAATATACGGAGCTATGAAACTGTATACAGAAGACTAGGAAGGCTAATTGAATACTTCAAATTAATGTTGAGCACGTGTACTTTGATATTAGCCACCGGCAAGCTCAAGGACGAGACGCACTTGCAGCTTGGTACGAAGAGAGATAACACGATCCTTTGATAATGGTTTGGTGAAGATATCTGCTAGCTGGTCAACAGAGGAAACGTAACAGATTTTGAGTGCACCATTCTCGACATTTTCTCGGATGAAGTGGAAGTCTAAGGCAATATGCTTTGAACGAGTGTTTATGACAGGGTTTTTGCTCATGAAAATAGCTCCGACATTGTCACAAAGAAGCATAGGTTGCTTTGTTATAGGAGCATGTAATTCATGGATTAACTGTTGTAACCACAACAGTTCTGCAGTAGTATAGGCTAAGGACCGATATTCAGATTCGGTACTTGAGCGTGCCACAACCCGTTGCTTTCGAGAGGTCCAGCTGATCAGATTTGAACCATGGAAAATGGCATAACCATATTGAGAGCGACTATCTTCTTTGTTTGATATCCACCCGACATCAGAGTATGCAAGGAGGTAATTGGCTGTAGTTGGTTTGAACTGTAAGCAATGATGAGAAGTGCCTTTTAAGTATCGTAGGATGCGTTTGGTAGCCTGCCAATGATGTGTTGTTGGAGAGTGCATAAACTGACACACCCGGTTTACTGCATAAGCTATATCAGGACGGGTAATTGTGGCATATTGAAGGGACCCCATAATCTGGCGAAATAATGTTGGATCATGAAATGGTTCACCATTATGTGTAAGCCGAGAATTAGGATCAGCTGGTGTAGAGATGGGTGTGGAATCTTGCATCTTGCTGCGGTGAAGTATGTCTTCAATGTAACACTGTTGAGACAGAGCAAGCCCAGTAGTGGTGGCAGTGATTTTTAAACCCAAAAAATGATGGAGTTTACCAAGGTCCTTTAGAGCAAAAACCTTATTGAGCTGTTGTATAAATTGTTGAATCTGAGGAACATTGCTACCTGTGATTATAACATCATCAACGTAGACAAGAAGGTAAATGATGGAAGTTGAGCGAATGTACACAAACAATGAAGTATCAGCTTGACAAGCTTTGAATCCTTGATCAACTAGATATTGTTTGAGTTTGTTAAACCAAGCTCTCGGAGCTTGTTTGAGGTCGTAGATGGCTTTATGGAGACGACACACATGATTCGGGCGAGAGGGATCTTCAAAGCCACAGGGTTGTTTCATGTACACAACTTCTTTAAGATCGCCATTGAGGAAGGCATTGTTGATGTCAAGTTGTCGAATGCACCAACCATGAGAAAGAGCGATTGATAGGACTAGACGAATGGTGGTTGGTTTAATGACAGGGCTGAATGTGTCAAAATAATCAATATTTGCCTCTTGACTGAAACCTTGAGCCACCAATTGAGCTTTATATCGCTCAATCTTGCCCTCAGCACTTCTTTTAATCCTGTATATCCACTTACAACCAACAACATTGACATTAGTAGGACAAGAAACAATAGACCATGTGTTATTTCGTATGAGAGCATCATATTCATTTTGCATTGCTTGCTGCTAGTAGGGATGTTTAGTAGCTTGTAGAAAAGTGTGAGGTTGAAAGTCAGATGTAGGGGAGACGGAGGTGTGAAAAACCTTTGGTTTTAAAGAGTTAGTGTGTGCGCGAGTTACCATTGCATGAGTATTATTTGTGGCAGCGCGATAATGGGAGGTAGAGGGCTGATGTTGTTTGGCACGAGAGCTTATGGTAGATTGTTGGTACATAGGAGTGGTAGGTGTGTATTGAACATGAGTAGATGGGGCAGAAGACGATGAAGATGAGAACGAAGGTAGAGATTGAGGAGGAGTGAATGGTGGTGTCACAGAGGAGAGTGTACTTGCCTGAGAAAGTAAGGTAGAAGTAGTAGCAGGAGGGGAGGGAGGAATGGTTGAAGTAGGGTTGGATGAGGGTGTCAAATATGGAAATACTTCTTCATTGAATACCACATGGCGAGATACATAAATCCTAGAAGAAGGTTGATGAAAGCAAAGATATCCTTTGTGTGTCGTGCTGTAGCCAATAAATATACAAGGAAGAGAACGAAAATCAATTTTATGATTGTTATAAGGTCGAAGAAACGGATAACATAAGCAACCAAAAGTTTTGAGAAAGGTATAATCCGGATTTTTATTATAGAGCATTTGATACGGTGATTTAAAGTCGAGAATAGGAGTGAGTGTGCGGTTGTGAAGGTAAGTGGCAGTCTTAAAGGCGTGCTCCCAAAAGACTTGAGGAAGCGAGGATTGAGCTAAGAGTGTGAGACCTTTCTCAACAATTATGCGATTGCGTCGTTCTACCGCACCATTTTGTTCCTGTATATAAGGACACGAGACGCGGTGTTGAATGCCATGGGTATGAAGAAAGGTGGAGACATTGCGAAACTCTCCACCCCAATCAGTTT